GTCTCCCAGCTCCCCCTCCCCCTCTCCCTAGCCCCGCTCCCCCGATGGCCGTGCCATGGCTCTGCCTATAGGCATATGAGTTCTTTGGTTTATCTCTTCTTCTCCCCCCTCCCCCACACATCGAGATGCCAGTCTGTTCTGTGCCAGGTCCCGACTCCAGGAATGATGGTGGCGCCCGCACGCTGGCCTTTCTCTCCCCACTTCCTGCTTTGGGGAGAACCGGCACCCACCAGCACACCATTGCCATCCCCAGAAAGTTCTGGAAGCCCGGGACCCCCTCCCCCTCCTTCGCTCCATCTGCAGGGATCCCGGGCGCAGGGGAGTCCCCACAGTGACCAGACCAACACTTGCTGTGAAAATGCCCTTTATTCAGCTCGTCCACGACCTGGCAGGGCAGCTGCAGCCTGAGCAGCGGGTTCTAGAAGCCAGGAAGGCGGCCCCTGGGGAAGGCTCTCGGCAGGAGGTGTGGCTCACGGCTGCCCTGAGGGTCCCGGACACGCACCTGCCTGACCCTCAGTCCAGGCAAACCCGCCCCTGACTTCCCTCCCCCACCCCAGCCCCCACCTGGTGCCTGGCAGAGCGGGCGGAGTCTGTGGGCACGAGGCTCGGGCACCCGGTTGCTTCCTGTCCCCTCGGGTCCAGGGCCCTGGGGTGGGAGCCCCGCCCTGTGCATTCCGAGGTCACACTGCAGCGGCAGAGGCTGAGGGCCAAGGGGGGGGTGCTCCCGTGTGACCCAGCGAGGTGGCAGCGCTGTGGTGGCTCCGGCTGTGGCCGCGGGTGGGGACGGAGAGGAGGTCGGTCAAGACGAGCCGGCGGACACAGAGGACACAGGTGGGGCGGTGGTCCCAGGGCAGGCGATGCCCTCAGAGCTGCTTGTCTGGTGGGAGGAAGAGGAGTGAGAGCGGGGAGTGCCCAGCGGGAAACTGAGCTCAGTCGGAAGGGCGGCTGAGGGCGGGCAGGAGCGTCGCTGGGTCCTGTGGGCCCGGGACCAGGGGAGGGTTGTGAGGTTCAATGTGGCTGGAGGCTCCCAGTGGACGGGGTGGGTGAGTGGGAACATTTCAGCCCAGTGGGGAAATGGGTACATGGGACCCAGGCCAGGGGAACCCGGGCCCCAGCGACTGCGGCGCCCGTGGGAAGAGGGGGGAGGAGAGGAGCAAGCAGGGTCCCTGTCGGCCTCAGACACCCACACCCTGCCCTGCTGCCCTGGGGGTGCCCTGCCCTGTGCTCTCTGGCCTCAGGGTAAGCTTTCTGGGGGGAGGAGGGGCTTCAATCTGTCTTCCCTTTTCTTTTCATTATTTTTAAAAAATATGTTTTTATTGATGTCAGAGAGGAAGGGAGAGGGAGAGGGAGATAGAAACATCAATGAGACAGAATCATGGATCAGTTGCCTCCTGCTCGCCCCCCACTGCGGACCGAGCCTGCAACCCAGGCTTGTGCCCTGACCGGGAATCGAACCCTGACCTCCTGGTTCACAGGTCTGCACTCAACCCCTGAGCCACACCGGCCGGGCTTGATCTGCGTTTAGTTCTCTGACTCCTGGCACCCAGGAGGCCTCCAGGAGGTGGGCGTGGAATGAATGGATGAGGAAGGACAGAGCCTAGAATGGGCCGCACCTGGGGACAGCCTGAGTGCGGACACGAGGACAGAGAGCGGCCAGAGGTGTGTGACCTGCGCCCGAGGGGACACAGGCCGCTGACAGCTACGCTCCCCACACCCGCCCTGGCGGCCCCGCCTGGACCCCACTTCTTTCCCTGGGGACTGCGGGGGGTTAAGGAACACGAGTGACCATGTGGTCATTGATGTGTTAATATCGGTGACGACAATGATACTAACAAAAGCCACCACAACCCCTCACAGTCCTTACAGGGGCGGGGGCGGGGGGGGGGGCGGCGGTGAGCAGTTGTGTCTGACAGAGGAGGAGTGAGGCTCGGGGAGGTGAGAACCCAGAGGTGAAAGGTCAGGTGTGTCTGCCTCCCAGGTCCGGACCCTCTAGGCCGGGGCTGGGGGACATCCCGCCTGCAGGCCGCGTGAGGCCCGAGAATCCCTGGCTCTGGCCCTGCCGGGCCTCAGGGTGAGTTCACGTGAGGTTTGACCAGATGGAGCCGCTCATCTTCAGTAGATCGATGTGTACGGCCCTCGGATGACGCCATCAAGACCCAAATGGGCCCTAGGTTGGCTCAGTGGATAGAGCATCAGCCTTCACTGAACGGTCCCGGGTTTGATTCTGGTCAAGGGCACATGCCCAGGTTGCAGGCTCAAGCCCCAGTAGGGGGCGTGTAGGAGGCAGCCGGTCAATGATTCTCTCTCATCATTGATGTTTCTCCCTCTCTCACTCTCCCTTCCTATTGAAATCAATAAAAATGTATATTTAAAAAATATCCCAATGGCCCTTGGCAGAATGCTGGCTCCCCGTTGCCCCCGCCACTTAGGCCAAACGCGACACGTGTCCCTTGTTGACCAGGAAATTGGGAGGAAGGCAGCCAAAGGGCTTGTTGCACTCTGCACCGCCTACCGCAGCCCGACACGCAGTCCATGCCCACCACACGGTGCAGCCTGAGCCCCACAGACACGTCCATGAACACTCGTGTCCCCTGGATCATGAGTGTAGCCCCACCGGGTCAGAAAGGGGTCAAGGGCGACTCCAAAGGACCCTCATCACATGTTCACTGCCATCCCCGGGCACTGTCTCTGACACCTTGGGATGCAGGTATGACCATGCTGGCCCTCAGGGTGCGGCAGGTGTGACAGGAGGAGAGAACCCGGAAGCCTGCTGTCCCGTCATCAGAAAGCCAATGGGCATCAGTGTCCACTATCCCACAAAGCCCTCCTCAGCCTGGAGCCACGGGGCCACCTTCATGGAAGGGGAGGCACTTCTTGACCAACGGCCACTCTCCCCTGGGACGGCTGCTAGTATCTGATGAGAACTCAGAAGGAGGATGGACAGACAGAGTCTTTGGATTCTGCCCACCCCCAATAGTTAAGGAGACAGAGGGCAAAAGTGTGGTCCAGATGGGGTCCAAAGAGCCATGGGTCAGCTGGAGAGGGCCGACCGGCAGAGGTGTGCAGGAGAGAGGGACATCCCAGGAGAGGTGGCGGGACTCACCTGGCCAGGTTGTTCAGGGCTGAGCAGCTGAGGGAAGAAAAGGACAGTCAGACAACACGCTCCCAGGTGCCCGGCCCAGATCCCAGGTTGATGACCCTCAGCTTCTACACACGGAGCTGACGCCGTGCACAAGGCCTCCGGGTGGACACAGCAGTGCTGCCCCGCACCGTGCAGTCCTTCCAAAGCCCGCCCTCTGTCCCTTGCCATCACCAGCCTCCCTGAACCCGAGGACTTCCTGTCCAGATAATGGAAGCCAGTGTCATGCCTGGGACAGGCCACCAGGGCTCTGGTGTTGACCCCAGAGAGTGAACAGGGTATGACCCCACCAAATGGGGTCAATCAATGTGCACACTGATCTCTCAACCTTGACCCATTTTGATATTGAGAGTCTACTACACAGATTTCTAGACTTTTCCATGCGGTCATAATGCCCCATCCCCAAGGCTCCCATTGGCTCCTTCCATTCACTGGCCACCTGCCATCTCCCACCTCCCCCTGCTCCCTCCCACTCTCTCTGTCCTTCACTAAGGACCTCTGTGCTCTCAGGGTGTCCCCTCAGCGTCACTATCTGGGAGCCCCCAGGTGACACCATCCTCACAGAGGGGAGGAGCTCACCAACCCCCACACCCAGGGACCAGCTGCCCTGGTGGAAGCCCCAGACACCCTGCAGGTGGCAGTGAGCTGGCTCCGGGGGCACAAGGCCAGGCTCCTCTCTGTGCTCAGGACGCTGCCTCTTGTGCATGAACACAGAGCTCAGGCCCCTTCGAGCCAGTTCCTGGCACTGCCTTCAGGATGCTGGGCGCGTGGACCCACCAATCTGACCTGTAGTCTGAGCAGGAGACCTAGCACCTGGGAGCCCGTGGCCCTGAGTCATTCCAGTGCCTGGGGGACAGTACGAGGCTCAGGGGGGCCCTGGCTTAGGGAGTGGGTGTGTTCTCAGCAGCATTAGCCCAGAAGGGCCACCAGGGATGGTAGCGACGCACCTGAGCAGATGACGCCGGCGTCCTCGTGGTGCCCACAGTTGTGCGAGTTCCAGCCCCTGTTCGGGCAGTTCCACAGGTAGGACTCATGCCCTGAGCAGCTCACGTCATCCAGCACGATCGGGCCTGAGCCCTGTCCGAACCGGGCACTTCCTGGGGCCGACCTGGCCCCGCCACAGCCCAGCTGCCTGCACACCACGTTGGCGTCGTTGGTGTCCCAACTGTCGTCACACACGGTGCCCCAGGAGCCTTTGTAGAAGACCTCCACGCGGCCCTGACACCGGTCACCGCCATTCACCAGCCTCAGGTCCAAACCAGCATTGGTTCCTAGAAGGGGATAGAAAAATTCACTGTCTCCCATATCGCCTCAAGAAAGAGGCTCTGAGGTGTGGGTGAGGTTCCGAATTCTTCCAGGGGCCAAGCCTTTATTGTTCAGGGTTACGATCCCCCGCATTAGGATTGGACCGTAGGCCGTCAGTCACCCTTTATCTTCAAGGAGCCAGTTACAGCACCCATGGGTGTGAGCTTTGGGAGGCATGTTCTCCAATTGATTTCCCACCATGTGGCCTTGTGATGCAGGACAAAGTGGGGAGCCCCACCGTTGGCACTAGCAGTGTGCCCTGTACAGAAAGCAAGCTGATAGTGAAGCCCATACACACAGAGCGTAGGAGTAAAAAAAGCGCACGGAGACAGTCTTGGAACGCCTGGATCCAGCTGCCCCTGAAGCTGGCCCTTCCACTAGACGTCCCTCATGTGTGAGCCATGGAGTTCTCTTCTGGCTTCAAAGAGGTTGAGTTGAGCTCCTGTCACTTGAAAAGTAAAACATCCTGACTAATATGTCCCATAACTGGTAGGTGAAGGGAATCCATGATTCTGGGATGTGGGGGAGCCCTCCATGTTGGATGGGGTGAAGTCTGAGGAGATCTAACACAAGATTTGAGAAGGTCACCATGGCCTGGAGGCTACAGTGCTGAATGCTGACGCTTTAGCCAGACCAAGGGAAGCTCAAGCGAGGAAGGACTTGTGTACCACCCACTGGAGAGAAATCAGAGCAGCTTAGAAATGCAGGCAGAGGGTCAAGGTCGGGTCTGCAGAGCTGTGACTGGGTCAGAGGTCAGGGGGTCAGGGACAGGGTGGGCTGAGAAGCTCTGTGGCTACGGGAGAAAGAGGCCCTTTTCTGAGAGCTTGCCACCAGCCAAAACCATGCCCTTGAATGTCCTTGACAATGGCAACCAGGGCTACAATCTGTGAGAGCAACCCCGCTGAGCTCCTGACGCAGTGTCCTTTGGTAAAAGCAACCCTTAGGCTCTGTCTGGGGTCCATGGATGAAGGGTCTCTATTGTCTCAGCACAGGGAGCATGTTCTCCAATTGGTTTCCCACCATGTTGTTCTCAGGACAGAGTGTCCCCGGTCACTGAGCGGGTAAGCACTGTAGCCAGAATGCCCTTATCCCTCTGAGCCAGACTGGAGGGTCAATGTGTTGAGGGCACAACTGTACCATCTACACATCAGGGAGGGGTCAGGGAGGCAGAAAGTGGCACAGTGCCCTCCAGGAGCTCCTGGTGGGCTGTGGGGTGAGCAGGGAGGGAGCGTCAGAGGCAGCAGGACTCAGCTGGCATGGCGGTCGACAGGGCCAGGCAGCTGTGAGAGAGAGGGCGTCGGACCAGACACATGGCACAGAAGGGGGCACAGCGGAATTGTGGGAGACACTGAGCAGGTGGACGCTCAGCCATGCCGGTCCCCTGCCTTGGAAGGTGGGGTCTTTGCCATCTAACCCAGGAGGGACACTCCCCGCCAGGGCCCAGGAAGACCCGGGGCATTGGTGCTGAGGTCCAGGTGTTTCCATCTGTGTCTAGATGGAGGCACAGAGTTGACACGAGGAAACTGTCTACCACGCAGCTTTTAGGAGGCATGGAGGGGCCAAGAGTGAGGAGTCTACTCAGGGCCCCAAACCTACGTGTGTGGTTCAGGCCTGACCATAGGCAACTACAAGGCATAGCCCGGTGGGTCTCAGGGGGCCCGCTGCCCTCGCAGAGCAGACCTGGAGCAGAGATTGCATCCAATTTCCCTGAAGAGACTGACAGGCAAGGACTCCTGAGCCCCGAATGCAGGCCAGCCGTGTGAGGGTCACAGCACCTCTATCCACGGGCCCCTCCCAGGCAACTCACAACACTGCCTGTGCTGCTGGCATGTGCGGTTTCATCGGCAGAAGGTGTGATCCTTACACTCAGTGTAGGTCCTCATTCACCTGCTTACACCTGGAACCAGGACACAGACTAATACTGAACTAGGCAGAGAACTAGGACTCTTCAAGAGACCAAGAAATAAAGAAAGACTTTGACAGGAAACAGATTGAGGGACACACTCGCTGGCAAAACACCACCCAGGAAAGGAGGACAGACTTGGGGGGGGGCCCACCTGAGCAGATGACGCCAGCGTCCTCTCCGTGGTTGCAGTTGTGGGAGTTCCAGCCATTGTGCGGGCAGCTCCACAGGTTGGACTCATTCCCTGAGCAGCCCACGTCATCCAGCAAGATCGGGCCTGAGCCCTGTCCAAACTGGGCACTTCCTGGGGCTGAACTGGCCTCACCACAGCCAAGCTGCTTGCACACCACGTTGGCATCATTGGTGTCCCACCCGTCGTCACACACGGTGCCCCAGGAGCCTTGGTAGAGGACCTCCACGCGGCCCTGACACTGGTCAGCTCCGTTCACCAGCCTCAGGGCCAAACCGGCTTCGGCTCCTAGAAGGGGAGGGGAAAATTCACTGTCTCTGGTGTTGCCTGAAGGAAGAGGCTCTGAGGTGTGAGTGAGGTTCCTAATTCTTTCAGGGTCCAAGCTTTTAGGGTTCGGGGTAAGGTTCCCTTACATTAGGACTGGACCAAAGCCCATCCATCACCCTTTATCTTCAAGGATCCGGGTACAGCACTCATATGTGTGAGCTGTGGGAAGCATGTTCTCCAATTGGTTTCCCACCATGTGGACTTGGGGTGCAGGACGAAGAGGGAGGCCCGCCATCTGCACTAGCAGTGACCCATGTGCAGAAAGCAAACCGATAGTGAAACCCAAACACACAGAAAGCAGGAGTAAGCAAAGCGCATGGAGACAATCTTGGAACGTCTGGATCCAGCTGCCCCTGAAGCTGGCCTTGCCACTAGACGTCCCTCTAGTGTGAGCCATGGAGTGCTCTTCTGGCTTCAGAGAGTTTGAGTTGGGCTCCTGTCACTTGCAAACTAAAACATCCTGACTAATATGTCCCATAAGTGGTAGGTGAAAGGAATCCATGATTCTGGGAGGTGGTGGAACCCTCCATGTTGGATGGGGTGATGTTTGAGGAGATCTAACACAAGATTAGAAAATGTCACCCTGGCCTGGAGGCTACAGTGCTGAATTCTGACACTTTGGCCAGACCCAGGGATGCTCACCCAAGGAAGGATGTGTACCACCCTTCTGGTGAGAAAACAAAGCAGCTTAGAATGTAGGGCAGAGGGGCAAGGTGGGGTCTGCTGAGCTGTGATTGGGGTCAGTGGGTCAGTGGGTCAGGGACAGGGTGAGGTGAGAAGCTCTGTGGCTACGGGAGAAAGAGACCTTTTCTGAGAGCTTCCATGAACCAAAACTGTGCCCTTGAATGTCCTTGACAATGGCAACCAGGTCTAGCATCTGTGAGAGCAACCCCACTGAGCTCCTGACACAGTGTCCTCTGGTAAAAGCAACCCTTAGGCTCTGTCTAGGGTCCATGGATGAAGGGTCTCTGTTGCCTCAGCACAGGGAACACAATGTCCTCTGGGCAGAATCTCCCCTGTCACTGAGTGGGTAAGCACTGTAGCCAGAATGCCCTTATCGCTCTGAGCCAGACCAGAGGGTCAATGTGTTGTGGGCTCAACTGTACCATCTACACATCAGGGAGGGGACTGGGAGGCAGAAACTAGCACAGTGCTCTCCGGGAGCTCCTGGTGGGCTGTGGGTTGAGCAGAGAGAGAGCTTCAGAGGCAGCGGGACTCAGCTTGCATGGCGGTGGACAGGGCCAGGCAGCTGTGAGAGAGAGGGCGTCGGATAGACACGTGGCACAGAACGGGGCACAGCAAGAGGCATTGTGGGAGACACTGAGCAGGTGGACACTCAGCCATGCCAGTCCCCTGCCTTGGAAGGCGAGGCCTCTGCCATCTAACCCAGGAGGGACACTCCCCGCCAGGGCCCAGGAAGACCCAGGGCATTGGTGCCGAGGTCCAGGTGATTCCATCTGTGTCTAGATGGAGGCACAGAGTTGACACGAGGAAGCTGTCTACCACGCAGCTTTTAAGAGCCATGGAGGAGCCAAGAGTGAGGAGTCTACTCAGGGCTCCAATCCCACGTGTGATGTTCAGGCCTGGCCATAGGCAACTACAAGGCATAGCCCGGTGGGTCTCAGAGGGCCCGCTGCCCTCGCAGAGCAGACCTGGCGCAGAGATTGCATCCAATTTCCCTGGAGAGACTGACAGGCAAGGATTCCTGAGCCCCAAATGCAGGCCAGACATGTGAGGGTCACAGCACCTCTACACATGAGCCCCCTCCCAGGCAGCTGACAACACTGCCTGTGCCGCTGGTGTGTGTTTGTCGGAAGAAGGTGTGATACTTACACTCACTTGGGTCTAAATTCACCTGCTTACACCTGGCACCAGGACACAGACTAATACTGAACTAGGCAGAAAACTAGGACTCTTCAAGAGAACAAGAAATAAAGAAAGACTTTGACAGGAAACAGATTGAGGGATACACTCACTAAGAAAACACCACCCATGAAGGAGAACAGACATGGGGAGACGCACCT